CGGGGTAGGCGCGAACATCTGAAAGAAGTCAACTCCCTCGCGCTGTCTGAAAGCTCTGGCCACATAGCGCGCCTTGAAGACCGGAGATCCCGGTGGCCGCTTCACCCTGAAGATCCACATGCCATCGACTACGTTCGCCCCAAGGGGGGGAACCTCGTCGACGTAGGTTCCTGTGGATCTGTAGGAGGCCATCTCTGAGTTCATGGCAGCTCTCCACTGAGAGGCCCAGCGTAAGTGCGAGGAGTCGGTATGTCAAGGGCGTCGGGGTCTCCCTCAGGGGCGAGCAGCATGGCACAGAGATGAGGGGAAGCGGCTGCCAGGAACTCTAGCTCAAACTTCCTGTCCTCTAGGGCGTCACACCCAAGGGCAGACTCACCCCCGATGGCTAGAGGACTGGTAGGAGGAGCAGCCACAAGACTGGTGGCGTAGTTAAGGCAGCGAGTAGAGGCAAACTCAGTGACTGCGGCAGTAAGAGTGGAGACAGAGGACAGAGAAGCACGTGGGTCGGTAACAAGAGAGGCGAGAACACGAGAGAGAACAGGACGGTACGTGCGGTAGTAGTATGTGAAAGGAGTAGAGAGGGAAGCAGTGAGAGCCGACTCTGGAGGAGAGGGAAGTACAGAAGGAGACAAACGAGGCGGACTAGAATGAAACAGGGCAGTACGAAGGTCAGTGAAGGGAACAGGGGATGAGGGACGAGCACGAGGAGAGCGACGTGAAGGCCAAGTGTGAGAAAGAGGAGGGGACAATGGGGGCAGAGGAGGAGGGAAAAAAGCTGGGGAGGGGTCAAGAGGAGGAAGCGGAGGACCAGAGACGGGAGGAGAGGGGGGGGAGGGAGGAGAAGGAGAGGGGAGACCGAGGGTCCGAAGACCAGAGTCAGGAGGAGGAGGTGGCTGCTGCTGCTGCTGCTGCTGCTGCTGCGGCTGCTGCTTCGGCTGCTCCTGCTCTGGCTGCTGCTGCTGTTGCTGCTGGTGCTGCTGGTGCTCCTCCAGCCGCTGTAGCTCCAGCTGCTGCCGCTCCAACTCTCTCTCCTCTCGCTCCAACTGCAGCTGCTCCTCACGGGCACGGCGAATACGGGCTTGGTGCCGGGTCGGGTAGGGGTGGAGGGGAGGAGTAGTGTCCGGAGTGGTGGTAGCCCCAGGACCACTCTCCAAAGAACCAGTCGCACCACCCCCAGAGCCAGCACCACCAGAAGTAACAGGGTCCGTCCCAGGCTCTCCAGGTCCAGCAGAGGGCGCACCCCCAATCATAGCACCCCCAGGGACAGCTCCACTAACACCAGCTCCCCAAAGACTAGAGTCTCCTGCAGTCACGGGCTCAGCTCCAACTCCAGCACCCCCAGAACCAGGACCTCGCACAGGTACGCTCTCTGCTCCAACTCCAGCACCTCTAGAGCTAGCACCTCCAGGGTCCTCGCCACGAAAACCGGCTCCCGCAGGGTCTGCTGTAGGCTGGGAGGAGGATTCTGGGGAAGGAGGCTGCACCTGAGGGGCTATTGAGGGGGGAGGGGTAGCGTGGGACACACCTGATGGGGCAGGACCAAGGGGGGGAGGCTGTACCGGGGGAGCAGGAGGCGGAGCTCAAGTTAGGAAGAGAGGGGCAGGAGGAACCGGGAGACCTCGACAGGGGTACCTGACGTAGTAGGGGACGGACTCGTCGAAACGGACGTCACGAGAGTCAAAGAACCGGTGAAGGGGAGGGTGGTAAAAGGTGTAGTTAGACGAGTCCTCAGGGAAACCAAGGAACACGTAGGAAACAGCGCGAGGCGAGATCTTGTCCGCAGAGGTGTCGCAAACAAGTGCCAAGCAACCCCAGACACGAAAACGTGACGCAGCACCAGGGGACCCAGTCCAAAGACTGGTCGGTGAAACCTCTGGCCAAGAGACACGTGGCAAAAGGTTCAGCTGGTGAGCAGCGTACCGAACCGCACAGGGCCACAAAAAATGGGGGGCATGGGCGTGAGTCATGGAGGTGCGGGCGATCTCCATGACCAAGCCTATGCGGCGCTCAACAACCCCATTCTGCTGTGGGGACTCTGGAAGCGTCCAGGACTGACGGATGCCCTGCTCGCGACAGAATCCAGCGAGAATGGCAGAGCGAAACTCACCCCCGCGGTCGGAGTGAAGACAGCTGACACGACGACCACGAGTGTCCGCAGTGGTAAGCAACCACCGGATCAGCGTAGAAGTCACGTCGGACTTCTTTGCCAGGGGGAACACTGTGGTGTAGTGGGAGCAGTCGTCAACGACCACGAGAAAGAAACTCTCTCACTCAGGGCCAGGGTGCGAGGCGAGGCCCCAGACGTCCAAGTGGAGAGTCTCGAAGGGCTCGGTGGCCGGACGAAGGGAGGAGGAGTTTAGGGTGGCGCGCAACCGACCCTCGACGTAGGGACCGCAGGGTGGCGCAAGCGAAGGCAGCAACGATGGCAAGACACGCGGGAGGCCTAAGACAAGACGCTAACAAGACATAGCACGCATGCAACAAATGGACGGGTGCCCCATCCGGTCGTGCCACAAAACAGTGGGGTGGGCAAGCGACCGGCAGGAGCACGACGCGGCAACTGGACCAGACACTAGAACTTGACCAGACACAGCTACCTGGGGAGATTCGGCAACCTGGTGAGACGTGGGAACCTGACGGGGGACAGTGACAGGGGTCGGGGGCAGTAGCTGCTGCTGCTGCTGCCCTCGGGGGCCAGTGTGAAGTGTGTAGAGACCGGAGCCCGGCTCAGTGGTAAAGGTGGCGAGAGGCGCGTATGTGTCCTAATCGACACAAACCGCAGTCTCGCCAGAAGGCTTAATCCACGCTCCCGCGTGCTGACTCACAAGCGGCCTCACGCCCACCAAGTTCCTCGAGAACGAGGGTACGTGGAAGCCGGTCAGAGAACCGGAGGGAACAGCCGGGCACGGAAGCGTAGTAGTGTAGCGAGCAGTGACTGGTCCCAAAGTGGGTTCAGCCAGTGCTACAGAGATCGGCGTAGGAATCGGGGTAAGTGTCGTGCGATCACGGAAGGAACAGTGCGAAGCTCTGGAGTCCAGAGTGAAAGACAGCGAAGCGTCCTCCGGAGCAGCTCTTGGACTAGTGTCTACTCAAGTACCTACACTAGCAACAGGCACCTCAGCAAGACTAGCACCTAAGCTAACAACACTCGAGTAAACAGAGTCAGAAGCACTAGAGTCATCAACATCATACATAGCATGAGGAGTTCCGAAGAGATCAACCAACTGAGAAGCCGACATGCCCCACAGAGTAGGGCCATACGTCTGAACAAGGGGAAGCCAGTCAGGGGCAGGGCCGTCAACGCCGTAGGCCAATCAAACCGTGTCAGTAAGCTGAGCAAAGCACTGACCCGGTGGGTGGCTGTGGCCACAAGGCTGGCTGCGGTGGGCACCTATCAGAACGTGATAGGTGCAGGGAGGGTGGACGACACTGCGCTGCAGCTGACGCTGTCCTGACCCCTGCCCCGAAACCTGCTGCTGCCACTGCTACTGCTGTGGCTGCTGCAAGGGGAGGGGCTGCTGCTGTCGACGAGTCAGGTACCACACCGCTGCTCCGCCCCCTATGGATGGCAGACCAGTAGGTGGCTGACGAACCTGGGCGTCACCTCCACCAGCTGCAGCAGTGGAGTCACCGGCCACTGCACGAGACGCTCCTCCAGCGCGTGCACTCCCGCCGCCGCCTCTCGCCACGTCACCCCCACCGCCTCCGCCGCCTCCGCCGTCTCCGCCCGCACCCTGACTGCCCCTCCTGCCACTCCTACCCTGAGACCGCGAAGAAGTCGTAACAGCAGCTGCGGTCATGTCAGTAGCGGCAGTGGCACGGGAACGTGATTTATCCGGTCCCGAAGAACATGCACGGGATTGCGCACATGATGGCCGTCGCAGCAACTGTGGCAAGCTTGTGGGCGGCCTGCAGAAAGTTGTCGAGGGAAGACATTAAGAAGGATGCCCTAGCTGCCGCAAACGCATCGCTTTACGCCCCAAAGATGGCGACACGGGCTAGTGCGGCTGCCATGGCTGTGCTGCTGTCCGTACTTTTGCACGTCGGCAAGACGTTCCCGGCCATGCAGTGGCCCGATCTGCTATATTCGTCGGCTGTCGAAGGCCTTGGCTCGACTGATGCCACCCTGTTGCAGATGGTGCGCGTGGCAGCACAAGTCTGTACTCAATGGTGCTGCTGTCGATTTGCTGCCCGTTTGCTGGAGGACGCGGGCTATGGGAGCCTGGCTATGCCAGAAGAAAAGAGCAAGGCAAAGCTGGGCGACGAGGAGGCAACAGGCGGGCAAGGGGAGTAGTATAGGTGGGCGCATTGCGTGGGGGTTTTTGCATCATTTGACAGATGTGTTTGTTGTTTCGATAGGTTGATCGACAGATGTTCCTTGACTTGATGTTTTCGAGAATGCTCAATTGGTTCATCTTGTCGAGATGGTGTCACAACATGCATTAGGGGAAGAAGCCATGTAAACCCTGAACAACCTACACTAGGGTCCCCCCTCGTCATGGTTGCCCGTCGAACTAGGCCGCGTCGAACTAGGCCGCGCGCCAGTTGTTGCCGTGAACTCTTTCCATTTCTCCTTGCCGAACACCTTCTCCACCCATTCTGGGGTTCGGAGCTCGACGCGAATGAGCTCCAGAGTGATTCTGAGGCGTTGTTTGTCCTTCCGGTTTTCCTCTGCAGACTCGACTTTGCGCTTTTTCGTGAGCTGCCTCCCAGAATCCTCCTTGAGAACGATGCCCTCCGAAAGCATGTTGATCAAGTGGCACTTCACAATTGAGTCCAGCTTTTCGATGACCGTCAACGTAGCCGCGCTGCTGTCGTCGATCTGGAAATGCTCGACGGCCTTCATGACAGCCTCCATTTTCCGCATTTTTGTCTCGATAGCTTTTGCGGTTGGTGGGTTTTCTTTTGGCTGGGCCTCCTTTTCGGGGGTTACGGGGGGTGGAGTCGGTGTGAACTTGCAGAACTTGACGGCGAAGCCCCACTTGTAAGCCTGTCGAAGACTATGCCCGTTGTTCAGTGGGCTTGCCCCGTCCCAGTATGACCACGCCTTCCGCACGGTCTCGCAATTGCACCACGGCCACACCACCGCGTCGAAGAACGCCTGGTCGAGCTGGCTGCCCACGCTCTGTCGAGAGGGCGTTGCTTGTTTGGCTTGCTGTGGATCCGGGGTGGCTTCCTCGTGGTGCCCCATCCGCCGCCTGCGTCTGCCCAGGTTCCACCAGTGTGCCTCCAGTTGCAGCGCCCCACCCGCCGGTGTCGCTAGCCCCCCATCCGCTAGCGCTCCCCCACCCCCCTTCATTGGAGGCGCTTTCCTCTTCAGCGCCCCATCCGCTCCAGGCAAGGCTCGGCTGGCGGAGCTGCTCCGCTTCGCGGCGCGCCAGCTCCTCTTCTTGCACGATCATGAGTTTCTTCTTGGGGTCGGGGTCGCGCCAGTGGGGGTAAACCTTCAGAAACGCTTCCTTCGTGTAGGGGCGCGAAGTTCCTTCCGCGTCGAAGGTGCCGACAGTTGTGCCGCGCAAGATTCCTTGGAGATGGCGGGATGCGGGTCCGGTGAGGGGATGTTTCTCCGTGCTGTAGATGTTGCGCGTCGCGATCTCAAGATCCATAGTCAACATTCCCTCCTCAGGTGGCGCGTGTCGCTCAGCTTCGGCGATCGCCGTGAGTCCGCATCTAGCGATGACGCTCGTCGAGGTAGTCGGCGTGTGGCAGTCCCTGCAGACGCCATCAGGTCCGGGGTAGTGCACCGCGACTTCGCGAGCATGCGGATGATGTGGCACCCAGGGTCTCCCATTGGGGTGCTTCCAGTCTGAGTGGTGTGTGAGAATAATGAGAGGAATGAATGAACTAGAAAGAAGGTGGGTACAAGTAGCAAACACAAAAGTGTTGTACCCTCTAAGGACTACCCCACTACAGCCTAAAGAGACTATAGCATATATGAGTTTGACACACCCCCATAGGCAAAGTGGGGGAGAACAAGAGGTCACAAGACCAGTCAAGAAAGGCAAAGCAAGCTCAGGGTGGATCACAAAGTCACCACGCAATCTGAGCACAATCAAATGGCCACAAGGCCAGTTCACATGCAGAGTTATATAAAGGAGAACAAACAATACAGTGAACACAACCTAGCAAGTGTAAGCATGCAGGTATATGTATAAAGAGTACAGTACAGGCAGAGTCCAGAAGAAAGCAAGTGAGGCACAATAGGTACAAGGCCTAACACAGTACAGAAACGCTGATGATCACAAGGCTGAAGTGCCTTGGTGAAAACATCAGCAGTGTTGGCCTGAGAGGCCACGTAAGCAAGACGAAGCTGGCCACGCTGCTGTAACTCTCGAGCAAGGAAGTAGCGCAGAGCAATGTACTTCGTTCTGTGCTCCAGTCTGTGCTCCTGACACAAGGCCAGCATGGCCTTGTTGTCGACGTACAGAACTGGAGGAGAACGAGGCGCCTCTCCCAAGTCGGTCAGCAGGTAGGTGAGCTAGCGTAGCTCCTGTGCAGCCATGACCCCAGCGTAGATCTCAGCCTCACAACTGGAGCTGAGAACAGAAGAAGAGCGGGTAGACCGCCAGGAGACAGAACCGGAGCCAAGACTGAAGGTGTAACCCTGTGACGACCACTACGTAGCCAAGTCGTCAACCCAGGAGGCGTCAGCGTGACCAGTGAGGACAACTCGAGCCCGTCCTCCAAGCACAAGCCCCATGCACGATGTACTGCACAAGTATCGCAACACCCTCTTCGCAGCATCCCAGTGCACCTTTCGGTGCCTGCCGGGAGCCACGTAGCAAGCCAGAAGGCTGAGAGGGTATGCGAGGTCAGGTCGTGTGCAAGTCATCAGGTACATGAGGCAGCCCACAAGCTCTGGATACGGGCCACTCGGCTCTACGGACTCGTCCGAAGGTGGAGCTGAGAGCGAGTGACCTGTAGGCAGAGGAGTGGACTGTGGCGAGGAGTACGTGAAGCCGAAGCGCTGAAGGACCTGCTGCACCATGTGTGACTGAGTCAAGGTAATGGTGCGCTGTGCTCTGTCCCGGGGATCCGCAAGCCAAGATAGCTTGTCAGCTTACCCAGGTCTGTGCACGTGTGTCTCTTCTGCAGCTCGGACTTCACGTGGGCGAGTGCCTCAGTGTCAGCAGTAGCAAAGAGGAGGTCGTCTACGTACACGAGAACGTAGAACGGTGGCAGAGTAGTGTCAGTGCGGCAGCAGAGAAGGGTCAGAAGTGGAAGGAGCAAAACCAAGAGTAGCAAGAGTCGTCCTGAGTGTGTCGTGCCACTCACGGGGTGCCTGATGGAGACCGTAGACTGGCCGTCGGAGGCTCCACTGGGTACCAGCTGGAAACGACCCAGTGAAGCCAGGTGGGCGGCGCAGCCAGAACTCCTCGTGCAGGCTGCCCTGTAGGAAGGCTGTGCTGAAGTCAAGCGAGTGGAGCTCGTAGTCACGCTGAGCAGCTACATGCAGCAGTACCCAAAGAGTGGTCATCTTCGGGGTAGGGGAGAAGGTCTGGAAGAAGTCAACTGACTGAAGCCACGTGCAACGTAACGCGCCTTGAAGACAGGCGGAGAACCCGGCGGCCGCTTCACCCTGAAGATCCACATGCCACTGACGATGTTCGCCCCAGGCGGGGGAACCTCGTCGACGTAGGTGCCTGTGGACTTCCAGGAAGCCATCTCGGCGTCCATGGCTGCCTGCCACTGAGAGGAGTAGGGACCCTCTATCGCCTCTGCGTAAGAGCGCGGGGTCGGGATGTCTGGTGCATCCGGGTCTCCCTCAGGGGCAATCAGCATGGACACGAGATGAGGTACAGAAGCGGCAAAGCACTCAAACTTCTCCTGTCTGTCCTCAAGAACGTCTGTGCCAAGAGCCCACTCACCCCCGACGGACGAAGGACAGACAGACGCAGACGCAAACTCAGCAACAAGACTAGTGGCGTAGTCTAGGCGACAGGCTGCAGCAAAGTCAACAAGCTCAGTAACAAGAGCAGACGCAGCAGTGGACTCAAACAAAGGGTCAGTGACAGCAGTGGCCAGAAAACGCGTGACAGCTGGACTAGCAGCACGTAGGGAGTCAGACGCAGGGTCCGGACCGGCAGGAAGAGAGGACGCAGTAGGAGACGGCAGAGGGACACGCTGTGGATCAGTGGAAGGTAGCAGAGTCATAGAGTGAGTGCCAGGGACAGGAGGAGGACGCGGACGCGAAATACGACCAGCGCAAACAGAACGGACAGGCGACGCAGAACGAGACTCACGTGACACAGGACGTGACTCAGGCTCACGAAGCTCCGTAAGACCTCTAGTCGGTCCAGAGTAAGGAGAAGGACCAGGCAGTGGAGAGGCCGGCTGTAACTGCGACTGGGACGGGACAGGCGGTGGACTCAGGGAAGGAGGAGGAGGACCACGAGAAGGCGGGGAGCCAAGAACCTGCTGAAGGAGCGGAACGTAGTACGGCCGCGGCCGCGCAGTGCCTCCAGAGACAGCAGAGACAGGACCGGTACCCTCAGCCCCAGGGTCTCCAGTCCCAGCAGCTCCGCCAGCAACTCCGGCAGCTCCAGCACCAGCAGCACCTCCAGCAGCTCCAACAGCTCCAGCACCAGCAGCAGCTCCAGTACCAGCAGCACCGCCAGCAGCTCTAGCAGTACCTCCAGCAGCTCCAGCAGCTCCAGCACCAGCTGCACCACCAGAAGCTCCAGCAGTACCCCCAGCAGCTCCAGCAGCAGTAGTACCAGCACCCGCAGCACCTCCAGCAGCTCCAGGAGCAGCAGCACCTCTAGCAGCTCCAGTACCAGCAGCACCTCCAGCACCAGCAGCACCACCAGAAGCTCCAGTAGCACCCCCAGCAGCTCCAGCAGCAGCAGTACCAGCACCCGCAGCACCTCTAGCAGCTCCAGCAGCACCGCCAGCAGCTCCAGCAGTACCAGCACCAGCAGCACCTCGACAGCGCCGAGAGTACCACTCACGAAGCTGCTGTGGAGAGAGAGGCTCCCGCCGCGACGGGACACCTAGAGCACCTCCAGACTCAGCACGCGCAGGCTCAGCACCTCCAGACACAGTACCCTCAGGCTCCACACGCCCAGGCTCAGCACCCCCAGACTCAGCACGCGCAGGCTCAGCACCTCCAGACACAGTACCCTCAGGCTCCACACGCCCAGGCTCAGCACCCCCAGACTCAGCACCCCCGGGCTCGACACGCTCAGGCTCAGCAACCCCAGTCCCCGCACCCCCAGTCCCCGCGACCGCTACCTCGAACGGCTCGGCAGGGTCTACCTGGGACACACCTGAGGGGGCAGGACCCTGGGGGGGGAGGGGGTCTACCGGGGGAGTACCTGGTGCTAGGAAGAGCGGCGGGGGGGGGGGGAGAGAGGCAGTGCGGTAGGGAAAGAGACGGTAGTACGACACCGACTCGTCAAACGTGACGTCCTTAGAGGACAGAACACGACGCGAGGTGGGGTGGTAGAACTGCCATCCGGGTGCGTCAGGAGGGAAGCCAAGGAAGACACAGGGAACGGCACGGGAGGACAGCTTGTCCGCTGTAGTATCGCGGACAAAAGCTCGAGATCCCCAGACACGGAACGTGGACGCATCGCCAACCTTCCCCGTCCACCGCAGAGTAGGTGTGGTCTCCGGCAAGGAGACACGAGGCTGAAGGTTGATCCGATGCGCAGCGTACTGAACCGCGAATGGCCACAGAAAATGGGGAGCAGCCGCATGGATCATGGACGTACGAGCGACGTCCATGACCATGCCGATGCGGCGCTCAGCAATCCCATTTTGCTGCGGGGAGGCCGGAAGCGTGAACGTCTGGCGGATGCCCTCCGAACGACAGAAGGCCCTCAAGAGGTCAGAGGAAAACTCCCCACCTCTGTCTGAGTGCAGACGCAGAACAGGAAGGTCTGAACCGAAACTCTCACTGAGCTGGCGACGAGCACCGCGGATCCAGTCGATCAACACCTCAGGGACCTCACCCTTGGTGCGCAAGGGGAAGACTGTGGTGTAACGCGAGTAGTCGTCAACGACCAGCAGGAAGTAACGCTCGTGACCCTGTCCACGGACGCGGGCTGGGCCCCACACGTCCATGTGAAGAGTCTGCAGAGGAGCCTCAGTCAGAGGGAACGAGGAGGAGTGAGGAGCGGCGCGCTGCCGGCCCTCGACACAAGGAACACAGGTGGGGGCAGGCCCCGGAGGAAGGGGAGGGAGGGACCTGGGTAGACCCGAGACAAGGGCACGGGAGGCCATACCTCGAAGACGAGGCAGGGAGGGGTGACCAAGGCGGTGGTGCCAAAGGAGAGTCTCGTGCGACAGAGGACGACACGAGCAGGGGGCAGACGCAGGACTAGACCTGGACGCGGCAGCCAACACCTGACTAGACGCAGCTACCTGACCAGCTACTGCGGAGGAGGCGCAGTAGTCAGTGTGTAGAGACTCGACCCTGGCCGACGGGTGAACGTGGCCAGGTGGCGGCCCGTCCGAGAGCAAGTGCAGTGGGTCACACGCTGACCTCCAGGGGTGAACTGGTCAACCCACGCGTCCTGGAGGTCAGCTCCACTCACCAAGTTTGTAGAGAACGAGGGGAGGTGGAGTCCCGACAGCAAGCCCGACGGGGCCGCAGGACACGGTAGAACCGTGGAGGAGTGTGCAAGGACTGGGCCCCCTGAGGGGTCAGCAAGGGAGACCGCAACAGGCCGACTGAGCGGCGTGAGCGTGGTGTTGTCTCTAAAGAAAGAGCGCGAAGCACCAGAGTCAAGTGTGAAAGTGTGCAAGGACTCAGTAGGTGCAGTACCAGAGAGAGCAGATGCACCAGCACCTAGAGCAGCAGACGCACTAGCACCTAGAGCAGCAGCCGCAATGCCCGGGTCGGGCGGGACACTCAGGTAACAGTCACCCTCAGCACTATCAGCAATAGCATACATGGCAGCAAGGATAGCATCAAAATCAAGATCAAAGATAGGCACATTCTGCAGAAGCAGATCATGCCAGCGAGGGAGCTCAACGGCGTCTGGAAACTGGGCACGCCAAGCGTCAGTCAAGCGACCGAAGCAGCGCTGCGTAGTGTGTGGGAGCCCACACACCTCCCCACTACGAGTGCCGGTGCGAAGAACGTAAGTGCAGGGACCTGCACCCCCAGACCTCCCACGCCCAGCGTACCACTCACGAAGCTGCTGGACCGACGGGGTCTCACAAGAGCGCAGCTGCTGCTGGCGCTGGCTGCCACCAAAGCCTCCACGCTGCGCGGCTGCACCTCGACCAGTACCACCACCACCGCCACCTCCACCACCGCTGCCGCTGCCTCCACCACCTCCGCCACCGCCGCCACTACCTCCACCGCCGCCACTGACGCCCCCACTCCCAGTACCACCTCCACCGCCACCTCCTCCGCCTCCTCCACCTCCGCCACTGCTTACCCCGCCGCCCCCTCCACCACCCTTGCTCCCCTTGCCCCTGCTGTTGCGGCGTCTCCCACTAGGGGCAGACGCAGCTCCGACCTCCTCAGTGCCAACGAGGTCGACAACAGCAGCAGAAGCCACAGAGGGGAGAAGGGGAACAGGGGAACACCCCTCAAAGAAGGGGGTGCGACGGTCGCCGCGAGAAGCACCTACAGCTAAGATACTCTTCTTAGGTGCAGCAAGGCGCTCCTCTAACAGGTCGACAGTCAGCTCGGTGGGGCAAAGGGAGAGAAAGTGGTCTCTGACTGAAGAAAGGGAGTCAGGGAGGCGGGTGACTAGGTAGTGAAGGGTGATGTACATGGGGGGGGGGTTCTTGGCACAGAACTCAGTGGGAAGGGCAGCGCGGTAGCGGGCGTCACTAGTGCGAAGGTGAGCAACTAGGTCAGCAACTGTGGTAAAGGCGGCAAGGTCAGGGAAAAGGTACGGCAGCATGAGGCGGCTGAGGGCAGCAGTGGCAGGGGAGGAGTAGCGTGCAACTACAGCGTCGTACAAAGACTGAGCAGTCTTGTACTGGCCAAAATGTGCACGCTCAGCAGGCGGCAGGTGACTACGAACAGCAAGACGAGCAACAGCGTCACGAGTGGTCCACTGCGAGCGAACCGTACTGTCAGCAGTGGCAGCAGGAGCAGTGGAAACACCTGACGTGTGATCGAAAAGGGATACCCCATCCCTAGAATCACACTGAAGAAAGAGCTGGAGGTCGTCAACCCACACGTCAAAGTCAACTGCACGTCCCTCAGCGTCAAAGGTGAGAACGGTAGGACTAGCCATAGCAGCAGTAGGAGCAGTAGGAAGAGTAGCAGCAGTAGAAGCAGAGGCAGTAAGGCAGTGCAAGGCAGTGCGGCTCGGTAGGGCAGTGCGGCTCAGTAGGGCAGTGCGGCTCGGTGGGGCGGCGCGGCTCGGCTGAGCGGCGCGGCTCGGCTGGGTGGCGCGGCTCGATCGGGCGGCGCGGCTCGGTTGGGCGGCGCGGCTCGATTGGGCGGCGCGGCTCGGCTTACCAGAGACGGGTGCAGGGGCGGGCCGTGAATGCAGGGGCCACACCAGTAGGGGGGGCGCACCAGCAGGGGCCGCGTCAGCAGGGGCCGGCAGGGGTGCGTCAGCAGAGGTCGGCAGAGGCGCATCAGCAGGGGCCGGCAGGGGCTCGCCAGCAGGGGCCGGTAGGGGCGCGCCAGTAGGGGCCGGCAGGGGCTCGCCAGCAGGGGCCGGTAGGGGTGCGCCAGTAGGGGCGCGTCAGCAGGGGCACGGAAGGGGCGCGCCAGTAGGGGCCGGCAGGGGCTACGGCAGCTGCTGGAGGGGCCGAGAATGGCCGCAAAGGGGCCGCGAAGGGCCGCAAGAGGGGCCGCGAAGGGCCGCGAAGGGGGGCCGCGAAGGGCCGCGAATGGCCGCGAAGGGGCCGCAAGGGGCCGCGAAGGGCCGCGAAGTGCCGCAAAGGGCCGCGAAGGGGCCGCGAAGGGCTGCGACGGGCCGCGAAGGGGGCCGCGAAGGGCCGCAAAGGGGGGCCGCGAAGGGCCGCAAAGGGGGGCCGTGAAGGGCCTCGACGGGCCGCGAAGGGCCGCAAAGGGGGGCCGCGAAGGGCCTCGACGGTCCGCGAAGGGCCGCAAAGGGGGGCCGTGAGGGGCGCGACGAGGAGGGCCCTAAGGGCGGGCCGCTAAAGGCAGAGTGCGCTTCGGGCAGGTAAGGAAAAAAAAAAATCGTAGTGGTGGGCCCTTAAAAAAAAAACGGTCCCACTAGGGAACCCGCTCTATACCATGTGAGAATAATGAGAGGAATGAATGAACTAGAAAGAAGGTGGGTACAAGTAGCAAACACAAAAGTATTGTACCCTCTAAGGACTACCCCACTACAGCCTAAATAGACTATAGCATATATGAGTTTGACATGGTGAATGTGTTCGAAGCTCAAGGGAACGAGATCGATCAGCTCCTGTGAGTCACCGCTACAGTTGGGGATGTCGAAATCGAGGATGTACGCTCTGTTCTCGGAGTGTGCTCGTCCGATCTGCCAGCGCGTGTTTTTCAGCGCCGTGTAGTGCAGGAGAATGTCGCGCGTGCGGAGGTCAGTGCTGAGCTCGACTCCGCAATCCATCAGTTGTGCCGCCGAGAGGAGGTTGAAGCGTAGGTTTTGGACGATGAGCACATCATTCAATGTGATGTGCGTGGGGCTTCCCCGTGCTTTGAGCACGATGATCCCTTGCGCGTTTGCGCGCAAGCAGGTATTGTTCGCAACGGTGACGTAAGTGACCGTAGGGGTCACGACGGCGTTGGAGACGAAACGCTCGAATCCGACCATGTGCTGCCGCAGCAGCTGTCCAGGTACCAGGTGTTGT